CTTCTCTATTGGATTTCTTTTGTCCACTAACAGTAGGCTCAGTGAGAACTGAAAGCTTGTCTAAATCCAACAATAAAATTGCATTGCAGCTTACCAGACCTTGTATGTGAAGGATTAATTTTCTTTTTTTTTAGGTTTTTTTTTCACATGGTGATCCTAGCAGTAACACTACAGTGACAACATTTACTTTACTGTATCTATGGAGTAGAAGCTTTATTACACTACGACAAAGTGAGTTGGTGCTACAAAAACCCTGCTCATCTCCATTACATGTTCTGTAGTTTTAAAAAAGAACTCAGAAAGCTGATATAATTAAATGAGATTTTAGTTCAATGCACAGGAATGTAGCGCTACTCCCGTAGGAGCCACAGAAGTACTGTCCAGGTCTTCCCCAAATACTTTGCCCTGCAGCCAGGCACAAAGACTAATTCACATATTTCTGCAATAACCAGTCTAGGAGTGTTGTTTTTGTTGTTTTTATTTTTGGAGAACCTGGATAGGGATGAGAAAGATGAGTGGGATACTCCTAAAATATGAACTATGTATACTTGAGGACTTTATCTAGTCTTTAGGGCAAGCTATGTCAGAGTCTGTGCTTGAATCAAACAGTGGACTTCAGCTTTCAGGCAGTAGTAAAAAAGTAATAGTAGTAGCAGTAACCTCTTTAGAGCCCCAGGGCAGTCTCCTTTTAAAAGTAGGCCAGGTGGACAAAGCTCTTCGTAACCGCAGACTGACTTCCTAGCACCAGAGGGGTTAAACAGCACACAGTTTCTAAGATCATTTAAGGATGTCTGTACTCACAAGGCCCGAGAGTAGATGAATGCCTTCCTTCATGATACTAGACAAGATCTTCAATAGACAGCCCCTCAGTCGGCATAGCAGAACCTGCCCTCAGTAGATACCTGGGAGAGCAGTGTGCCCTCTCACAGGCTGGACCAGTCCTGGACAGGAAAGCCCCGTGTTCTCACTGAATATATACAGTTATCCAGAATGCCTTAGCGCCCCTCTCTCTGGGATAGGCTGACTCAATATTCATGCTGCCATCTGCATTACTTCACAACTATCATCCAGAAACTTCTAAAGTTCCCTGGATACAGAGGAAGCTATAGGCAGACTGGCAGCAGCTGAGCACACAGAGCATTGGTTAATGATAACAAAAAATGCAGTAAAATAGATCCCCTGCAGACCTCTCCGGGATCAATAGTTGCTTTGCAACAAAATACCGCTCCCCCCCAGCAACCAGCAATAATAGACCCTCCAGCAGCCAGGAAAAATAGACCCCTTCAACAGTAGATCCCTCCCAGCAACAAATTATCCCCCACCAGCAACAATAACCCTCCCCCAAACAACAACAGATTCCCCAGCAGACAGCAACAACAGACTCTCCAGCACACCCCAGCACCCCTTGCCATTACATATAGTCAGTGATGGAGGTGCCGGAACTGTGTTACCCTGCGTTCCTGCTGAAAAAAAGCCCTTCCTGTTCTACACCCAGGGTCAATACAGAGACAGGCCTGTGGACAACTGTGAGGACAAGTCTTTTGGCTTAAGGTTTGGCCTAAGTGTATCTTAAGCCAAAACTTCTGTTTAAGTATTGTTTAGAGTGGAGAAAGATAATGTCTATGTATGTATTGGGAAGATTTACTCTCTCTTTTTGTTCTAGTAACCATCGTCATTAGGACAAAACGTAATGGGGAATCTTTCAACATGGACACTTATTCTAGTAGTAACTGTATAACAGGAGATTCTCCCTCACCTTGGAAAGATTGCCTCTCACTTCCTGTTGGGCACGGCACAGCAGGACATAAACAGAAATTTCCCCAATTGGACAGACCAATGGGACAGACCAATTGGGGTTTATTTACTAAAGCAAAAAAGTGCAAAATTAGGCTCACTTCTGCATAGAAACCAGTCAGCTTTCAGGTCTTTTGCCAAATCTTAATTGAACAAGCTGAGGTTAGAAGCTGATTGGTTGCTATGCAGAAATGATCCTGATTTTGCACTCTCCAGCTTTAGTAAATAAACCCCATTGTGTCCATGCCGACTGAGAGACTGGCACATGTATGAAAAGTCTCCTGTGTGCCTCCACAACAGCCCTTCTGAAACAATTCTGTGCCAGTGGCAATGTAATGTATAATGCACTTCCAGGTCAAAAGAACCCACAATCCATGGTAAAAACACGACTCAACTGCCTGTTTTTACCCCTTCCCCCAAAATGTAAAATAGGTGTTACTGTCGCTGGCCTGCCTCATTCATTGAATTTCACTTATATAATCAGGAAGACTCAGCATCACATGTAGGCATTACCTAGGGGGTATGCATGCATATGCAGCCTGCCAAGCAACACCCACTCCTCCAGACTGACATCCACCCATGAAGACATTTCCGTATTTGCACAAGTCTTACCAAGAGCCAGCCCACTGCTTGCATATGGACGGAGGGCTCTTGTGAGAAGTTCAGAGGCAGGGTGCTTTGAAATTTTTCAGTATGCTAAGTACAGCACCCTCCCAGCCTCTCCCACCAGCCACGACCTGCCTGCATTACATAGAGAAGCACAAATACCCAGTGATGACACCAACGTATCTAAAATAAAGTATGTGACCTTTTTTACCTTTTCAGAATATTGAGCAGGAAGGAATGAGCCAGGGAAGGCAAAATATAAGTTCAGTTTTAAGTGATCTGTGGAGCATCCCACTAAAGACCTACTTCAAGGTTATATTTTCTCTTTCCGGCAGGTAGGGTGTGGATTCCCTACTCCACTGATCAGGGAGTGGGATGATGACCTCAATCATAGAGAGGATAAGGACCAACTTGCATGACCAAGCTCATAACTTTATCAATCAATAAATTCTTTCAATTCCCACCAAAAAGTCACACTTTCTCACTAGAAAGTACACAATCCAACGTATCCTTTTTGTGAAAAACCATCTAAATCCCACATACAACCCTAGAATGAATATTGAGGATTAAAGTGAAAGTTTGGGACTTGGACATTGGACACAATTTGATTTGGAGTTTTGGGACACTATTGAAAATTAATTTTTGGACACAAATTATGTATTTGTATTTTTATATTATTTTATTTTTTTTTTTTAGTTATATTTATTTATATATGAATTAAGTATTTGTGGAATTCATTCTAGGGTTGTATGTGAGATTTAGATGGTTTTTCACAAAAAGGATATGTTGAAGCTCATAACTTTGTTGAAACATGGAGCACTTGTATTGAATGTTCAATTTTTTTTGTTTCAATTTGTTTCAAATCCTTCCTCTAATTTCTAGTCTCATTTGGATGCTGTGGGTCTCTCGCTCTGCTGGAGCTTCACCTCCCCTCCCTTCCTGCCCTCTATAGCTGCCTCTTCATGTGATGCACACTCTACTATCTGGGCGCAGTGGGGGGAGCGGTGTGCCCCAACCATATGTAGAATTCTGGTTATTTGACTCACGTTGTCATTTTAGCAAATTCTTTAAGTACACTGCTCTTTGTATGCCTCCCTCATGGTAATGCTTTTACTTTAAATGTAATGATGTAACCCTCGATGGGAAAGTTTGCTTCCCCCCTAAGCATTTTGCATGTATAAACAATAAAACCTATTCTTTAAATAATATCACTTCAAAGGGGTAATGCTAAACCACTGTGCAACCTTTAGAAGAGAAGTAACTTTATATTGATTGGTAAAGATTAGAGGGTGACACTATCTTACTTACATGATAAGGAGAATTAGCAGCATTAGCCCTTTCCTCTTTAGATGACTGCTGTGTAAAGGTGCGTACAGCATGAGCCAGGAGACCGTCTGACCAGTCCATGGTATTGGGGTTGATTTCTCCATAGAGTTCTCCAAGGGTCACACATTTGGGGTTGATGATGAAAGTGTCCACCTTTCCCTTCTTCACAATATTTTTAAAGGTACAGAAAATATACAATTGTGTTAGTACACAGGAAGTATACTTTAAAGCTGGACTTCAGGCGAACAGTTAATACACCAATGAAATGTATGCTGTATAAAGTATAAATATGCATAATATGTATAAATATCTATAAATTACTTTCCAAAGAATTTGTATTTCTGTCCATCCAGTCCTGATACTTACACAGCTCTGACAGGCAGCACGGCCCTGTCTGGTGATGGGGGTGGGGTGGGGGGGGGGGGGGGTGGGGAGACCTGATTTTTCTTTGCTGCAGGTCTGTAACTCTTCACTAGCCTGTGACTGGACTTGGCAGGGAAGGAAGAATCTGCAAACTGATAATTTTCTCTCTATGAGAGTCCTATCTCTCCTCCTATCAGCATGTTCCTTGCACTGAAGCAAGCACAACTGGTTTGCTCCTTTTGCTGCTTTTCTCTCCCTAGTCTAAGCTCTGTTGTACATGGATTATAATAGGCTGAAACCAAGTCACATTCAGGTACACTGTATGTATTACAAAATGGCATTAGTGCCGGTTCAAACTGATGCAATGCACGATTCGCAGCGATACCTGTGAGTTTTCCACTCCGAATCCCAATCCCACTCTGTTCATGCGAACCGATGCTTGTGTCTATGTTAACGACACTCAGAAAATGGTTTCAAAACACAGTGCAGTTGGCTGAATCAGATTTCATGGGTGTAAACACCCATACCAAAAAAAAAAACAAAAAAAAAAAAAAAAACGGACAGGACAGAAGTTCTATCCCTCCCCACTCTGTCCAAATCTTAAAATAAAAAGTTTTGTGTGGAGATGTACTTTAAACAAACATTGCCAACTATTCCAGTATAATGACCACTCAAGGCTTCATTCAGAAGATTTATTAAGTGGACAATGGCAAAAAAATGCTGCGAATACTGAGTCAAGGTGTGGCAATGGAATAAAGTTCTCTGAAGCCAGAAAAGGTTGCAGTTCCACTCTGCATGATAAAATATTTAGTGAAACCAGAAATATACAATGAAATTACTGCTAGAGTAGGTCCTCCTTTTGAACTTGATGATAAATGAACCAATGCTTTTTCCAAAATTCTTCGTACAGTTGTCTTTCCTCCTCCGGTGGGACCCACCAGCATTACGCCATGACGAACCTGAAAAAAGACACATGGCATGCACACTGTAATCTATGATATATACACTGAAACTGAAGTGGTTCTAAACCTAAACAGTTTTTTTACCTTAATGCATTCCCTGCATGAAAGTTAAAATGCTTCCCTACCTGTCCTAGCCCCTCCAGCCCTTAAACACTTACCTGAGTCCTCTATCGATCCAGTGCTGTCGCCAGCTGCAGCTCTTCTCTCCCCTTTTCCTGCTCCAACAGGCTGCACTGAGAACAGCGGGAGACATACTGACAGTTAAATCCTGTGAGGAGGGAGTGGTGGGGCATGGCTGAGCCTTGCTGTGTGTGTTTATGGACACACACAGCAAGGCTCAAGGAGCGCACCTCACAGTGCATGGCTTGCTATGGGGAAGAGAAGCTGAGTACTGGGGGGGAATCACCAAAAGAAAAGGTAACGAACGCTCTGCGCAATATCCTTACACAGAGCGGTAAGTATAACCTCTTTTTTATTTTTCATATTTTAAAAAAATAGCTTTTACAACCACTTCTGCTTTCTGCCTAAGTGACACTTCTGCTGTCTCACTGGGTAATTCTGCCTCTATTGCTGAATTTAGCTGAACAGAACATGCCCCACCAGTGAGATTCCACCCCTAGCTCACACACTGGTCTTTTTCCCATATCACATACTCAGCACACAACCCAGTATCCATGACAAAAGTGAGATGGTCCCTTCAGAACACATAGATAATTAGCTATCTTTCACAAAAGTATTGTATATACAGTGTGAGGCACTGGCTGGCAGGATTGTGGATGGTATATATGTACCACATAGGTTTCTCAGCTATACATAGTGAAGAGCTTCAGAATTTGTATCTAACATATTAAGATCTGAAAAACAGTAGGTTTGTTTTCTCTATAAGTTCAGTTCTGGGTCCTGGAGCCTGTAGGCTTTGAAAAGCTGGACCCTGAATCCCATGGACTTTACACAATACACAACCAGGCCCGTGAATAGGTGCAACTGACCAGAGCCACTTACGAATTGTAGCGTGTCCTGAGATGATGCAGACACTTTTTGCAATGAGGAGCAGGAATGCGGCGTGGCTGGCTCAACCCAAATGGTAGACTTACTAGTGGAAATAGGGTAGTCCCTGCACTTTCCCTACTCCTCCGGAATCTTTCCTTTCCACTAAGTGTTGTCCCTAACAGACAGGATCCTATCCCTATGCTACCCACTGTGTGTGCCAATTTAGGGGTTGACTGCCTTCAACTAACATGGCAGCAGATGGCAGTGTCCAATCTGACAGCTATCTCCCCGCTCATCAGAGGAAGAAAGAGAAACCAAGTCCCTCAAGGCTTCCTTCCCCTTCTGCACTGCCGTTTTGGTCGAGCGCCACTTTCATTGGGGAGTACAGACTGCACCTGCCTACAGGTTTTTTTAGTGCTTTGGGTTGGAAAATCCCTCTATCCCTAGGTCCATGTTTTATCTATTAGCCAGATGTTACTAGTAAGTGAGCTGTGCACAGGCCTTTATATTTGTGGGATTATAGCTCTCTCTGCAATGTGAGAGCCTGCTGCTGGGTGAAAAGGCTGACTGCTGATAGAAGAAAAAGTTAAATTGCTGGTTGTTTTGGGGAACTCATTAGGAAGCACCAGTTAGCCAGGAACTGACATAATGGCTCGCATGAACAAATGTTTTGTTTTTTTATGCTATGGACTTGCTGTACAAAGCTTTCCTGATCTGACAGCAAGACAGACCTGCTAGGACTGCTCCTGGGTGTCCTTGTGTTATGCAATGTTCACTGCTGCCACTACCAATTGAGCCTGTTCCCTTCAAAACATTTAAAGCGGTTGTAAACCTCAGACACAAAATATGATCAAAGCATATCCCCATATAGTGCTTGTTTGTCTCAATCCAGAGTACTAAATGTTATTTCTGTCTGCTGTCTCTTTCCTCTGGTATAAACATGAGTCACTTCTGAAGAGTTTTCCTGACACCAAGAGAAAAACGGTGTCAGGGGAGGGCTCAGCTCTGTTCCTGTGTGCTGAGTGAAGAGGGATGACTCCCTTCCCTCCAATCAGCTCTCAGAGCTCTACTTGCCGATGTAACTTCAGCTCCCCTACCCCTGCTTTTCAGAGCTGAGAGATCTTGTATAAATTCTGCACTTTGAATGGATGTAGGCCCCAGTCTCCAGAGTATCAGCATTAACCCTAGGGTGGCCAGTACCCAATGTATGTGCAGAAACTCCGCAGTGGTCAGTCCACAGCTGATGTTCGTTAACACCTGAGTGGCATGCCCACTGTAGATGTAACTCCTCACACATTAGCTAGTAATATAAAATAAATGAAAAAATCCAACAGTGATGGTGGGAACCCGTCATAATAGGCACAGCAGATGTGCAGACCTGAGTAACTCAGCACAGAGATCTGACCAATAGAATCCCCTAGTTATAGAAGAAACAGTTAGTTGACTTAAACATTCTAACGATAATGGAAATATCACTTTTGGATGGAATCATCCTTGAAGTTGTGTTGCATTTTACTATATTACGTTATTATTATACAGGATTTATTTAGCACCAACAGTTTGCGCAGCACTTTACAAAATGAAGGTAGACATTACAGTTACAATCCAATGTGGTACAAGAGGAAACAGAGGGCCCTGCTCGTTAGAGCTTACAATCTAGGAGATAAATAACGCCAAGCCAAGGCACTCACCAGAATCTGATTATAGAACTGGATGACCTTCTCTGTCTGGCTTCCCCAGGGCTGGAGGCCTAATTCATTTGTTGCCAAAGATATCGCTTTCTAAAACAAAACAAAAAAAACACACACAGTGCTTCACGCTGCAGAAAATGCACAGAAAATGCTTTTAATAAATGCTTAGCCCATTGTGCCAGGTTCAGCTAATGTCTGTTAATGAGGCAGGGGAACCAATTAGAGGGAAAATGGCAAAACTGCTTAAACAATCAGACACAAATAATTGCTGCAAAATCAGGTTTTAAATGCACTGAGTCCCTCACAGGTGGAATAAATAAAACAGATTCATGTGTAAGATAAATGCCAAAATTAAGCTCTTTTGCACATCTTACAATAAGACTAACAATACCAGAAAAAAACATTGTTCTTTGCTTTATAAATATTGTTCTTAAAGGAACACATCCCTGAACAGTAGTGATGTATAGGCTGGTGGGAACAATCAGGCTGTAGTGAAGAACAAAAGAGAGAGCGCACCAACCTTGCGCATTACCTCAGTAAACAGTAGATGAATTTATTAATAAAATATACTCACAAGAGTAGCAGTAAAATAGGCATTTAATAACCACAGCCAACACAGGGTTACAGGTCACGTGAAGTTCCATCCGAAAGGGAGATAAACTCTTGTTCAAGCGAACGCGTTTCGAAGGGTGATCCCTTCTTCATCAGAGCTGGATAAATAGATAGGAATCATCAATTCGGGTTAAGTTCACATAGCTAAGAGGCATTCAGCCACTAAGTGTCAGTACTTCAGCCTGTGTTTTACAGGCTGAAATACTGACACTTAGTGGCTGAATGCCTGCTATGTGAACTGAACCCAAATTGATGATTCCTATCCTATCTATTTATCCAGCTCCGATGAAGAAGGGATCACCGTTCGAAATGCGTTAGCTTGAAAAAGAGTTTCTCTCCCCTTCGGATTGGAACTTGTACGTGACCTGTAACCCTGTGTTGGCTATGGTTATTATATGCCTATTTTACTGCTACTCTTGTGAGTATATTTTATTAATAAATTCATCTACTGTTTACTGAGGTAATGCGCAAGGTTGGTGCGCTCTTTCTTTTGTTCTTCACTACAGTTTATATCAAGCTTCCCCAGCTTCATGACAGAGCTGCACAACCTTTGATCAGTATTGGATGAACATATTTTATCACCATTAACAATCTTCCTCTGATCGGAGCCCCTGAGCACAGGAGATGGTGGATGTATGTGGGAACAATCAGGCACCCGGTACTCCTGTAGGTGTCTTCTGCTGACGATTCTTCAGCCGCCAGTGCATTGAAAACAGAATATGTGCTGCACTGAGAAAAGGGCTCATGCCCAATGGTCGTTTTTTTCTGCTGCTGTTAGGGGTGTGAGGAGTTTTTTTTCTGTCACTCCCTGCCTTTAACCCTTGTGTCCGTGCACACATAGGTTTTTGCAGTTTATAGGCAGGACAGTTTAGTGACACAAAAAAAAAAAAAAAAACCCCAGGGTCAGTGCGTTCAGGAGAGGAGCAGATCAGCTTTAAAAATGATCTATCGTGCCTAAACATGTGTAGAGGTTTAAGTGGTATAATCTTTTTAGCACATTAACTTTAAGTTTGGGTTCACATATATGTTGTGCGATATATCGCATATGATTCGCACAGCATTCCTGGGCAAATAACATGTGATTTGTGTGAGGTGCGATTGGAGCTCCTGCTATAGTGATCTACTGCTGGCTGACTGCAGTCAGCAGTAGGTCATTGTTAGTAGTGATTTGTTGCAGCAAAGTTGTATAGAAGAGATCTAGATACCTTTCCAGGCCCCAACAATGATGTTGGATGACATTCACATTTATTCTAATTCTAATGTATTATGCTCACATTGATTTTTAGAGATTGTGAATCAGTGAAAAAAGTAATTGTCTTGCTAACTTGAGCCCTTGCCAACCCCACCTGGTCTTATCTTAATGTTATGGCACCAATTTACACAAAAATATTTTTTTCCCTGTGTGCATTGCAAGTTAGCGTCAACAGAGGAATACAGCTTTCCTAAAGTAAAACACAATCATTTTGATCTTTGCCATTTTGCTATGTTACATAAAAATAGCTTATATGATATAATTTTAATTAATAGACTTCGAAGCTAATATATTTATCTTAATATCTTGGGGTGCACTAATTATTGTGTTTGAAAAATGATATAAAATACGTTATGGCAGGCTGCAAGGTATAAGGTATGGAAACAAGACACCTCTAAAACCAATAAACCACTCTGGGATTTAAAGGTGATTAAGGGGTAAAGGGTCTGGGGATTCAAAAGCGTTAACTGGAAATTTAGTTGGGCTTTAAAGATTAAAGTGTTACTAAACCCAAACATATAAACTGCTAAATATCTTTTCTCATCAGCAGTTAGAGCAGTCTTGTGACTTCAGCAGAGCACGGGTTAAAGCTTGTAGGAGGAGTTATCTTTCTGCTCTAGGAGGAAGTGAAACCTCTGACCTCTGTCTGGACAGTGCTGAATGATCAAGTGCTGATCACATGCACCCTCCCAAGAAAAAAAAAAAAACCTCTCTAGCAATACACACCAAACTGAGCACGTGCATATTACCAGGGTTCAGTCTGTAACAGGTGGTTATTTCAATAAGAGGAGGGGCAGAGAAGAAAGGATCAAACAGCTTTTTTATATAATGCAGAGGATGAACCCCGTAGGTTCCACAGGGTGTATAACAAGCATGCTTTACTGCATATACAGACTGATTTTACTGTTGTGGGTTTAGTAACGCTTTAATTCCACTTTTGTTCAGAAAAAAAAAAAAAACATTCTAGATGATCAATGTACATAGCAAGGATTTTAAGGTTTAAGTTTTGTTACAGATTGCTCTTATTGCTCTGAAGTAAAAACTGTTTATCCCACTATGTTTTTTGGATACTGGTTCTAAATCGGAGTGACCAATTATTTTAATCAGCGGTCGCACTTGGAGTGCTCTGATGGGAAAAGCTGCAATGTCTGTAGCTGCAGTGTCCCCTTGGGGGTATCTCACTCACCAAAAATGCCTTTTTGTTGCAGAAGATGCCTAAAACCTGACTTGTATCTTAATGCAGAGTTCTTCACACAAGCAGGAACTGAAATTTCTTGAGGCATTCTGTACACCAACTGTGTACAGAATGCCTCCAGGAGCCATATTGTATTGACTTGTTAGAAAATTAAAGTGGCTGCAGTTTGAAAAGGAAAGGTAGTGTTTTAATAACATTAAATTACAATATGGCTTGTATAGCAATTTTATGCTTTATTATTATTATTTTTTTTTTTAACTCACTATATTTTTTTTTTTCAAGAAAGTAGAGTTACCCTTAAAAGTGTTTTTACCATTTATGTGCATTTGTGCATGACAGGAGCAAGAGAAAGAGTTTTGATATTTGCAAATGAATGGTTCAAGCCACTACCTCTAATCTCTTGGTATTTGCTTTTTCAAAAACAACACCCGGAAACAGGTCATCCATGATGCTTTCAAAGAGTGGAACGTCTTCAGCCAAAAATTTGGGCAGATTAGCTTCCTTTAGGGCGGTAATAATAATTATGGCCTCATCGTCAGCAGACAGGCGAGATTTCTTCTCTCTGGTTGTGATGGAAAAGAAGAATTGAATCCAACGGTTCTCCTGCAGAGTGCACAGGGGCTGCATGCTACCCTGATGCTTCCATCAGCCCCTGCAAATAAATTGCTTATATTTTGGCAGAAACCATAGGGCATTTTTTTCAAGAACACCATTGGAGTTATTGCAAGGTAATGTTTTGCTATTTTTGTGTAATTTCACATTTCTACATCCTTGATTTTTCATTTTGCCTCCACTGTCTTATACAGAGTCAGAGGATCCATCTCTAGTGCATATCTCTATATTACTACTGGTATAATTATAGACATAGCTGACCAGTAGACTGCTATAGGGCCCAAAACAATGAGGGTCCACAGTAATCTATCTACACAGTGGACAAAGCAAAATGCAGTATGTATTACTTCAGTAGTATAAGCAATGACAAGTTATGACCTAACCAATAAGCCAACGGCGGAGCTGTAAAATCTGTTCTGATCTATGAAAAGTGTATGGATGCGGGAGCTCAAGCGATTAGTGGTTCACAAATAAATCATTAGGAGTGCATATTATCTCACCAGTTGTTGGAGTGACTCTTTAAGGCTAGGTTCACACTTGTGCGGTTTCCAGTACATTTCCCAGTTTTCAGAAACACAATACAGTGTTTTTTCTCTATGGTTCATCTGTGTGTTTTTAGCTGGTGCGTTGTTTGGAAAGGGTCAGGGACTTTTTTACTCGCAGCAGTTTGTGTTTTTTGGTTCAACAGAATTCAATGAAACTGCATAAAAAATGCAGGTATTGTGTTTTTCACCTGCATGACAACAACCACCTCCCCCTAACAACAAACTTCCCAAAAAAAGTATCAAAAATGCATGTTCAAAACTGCAAAACTCACTGCAAAATGTGCTGGAAAAATGCATCAATCGCAACATGCAGGTGTGAATCTAGCCTTAGGGTATAAAAGCGCTGGCAGCTGGAGGTGCACATTTCTGCTTTCATTTGTTTACGATATGGCCAAAAGTCAGAAATTCTGAACTGGTAAAGCTCTGGCATTTCCTTTTAGTGTTGGAGCTTGTGTGCTCCCTTTCATCTCCCTCATATTCCGGTTGGTCAAGGAGGCAGCATAGTGTTTGACCAATAGGAAAGTGGGGACAGAGTAGCTTTAAAGTTACTCTGTCCCCACATTCCTATTAGCCCATCATTATGATTGGCTTGCCTCCTTGACCAATAGCAATGTGTGTGAGATGGAAGGGAGGAGACTATGCAGAAGGTTTGTGGCACAGCTCCAAGCTACAATACAAGAGGAGATCGCCCTGCCAGTATGGGAAGAGGGAGCAACATCTGTGAATGGTTCCAGTAAAATCTATGTGGAGAGATGGACGCCGCTCAGACCAGCACAAGGAGTCTGGTGTGTGTAAGATTGCCTCAGCTGCCGCTCCAGCCATGCCCCCTGATGTTTTGCCTGCCCACTGGGGGTGGGTTTGATCACAGGGGTGACTCTGTGATTAAGCCACCAGTGGGCGGGGTGAAATGCATCAGAGGGTGTGGCTAGAGTGGCGGCTGAGGCCATCTTACACACACTGGACTCTTTTGGCTGGTCTAGGTGGAAGGGAGCAGACATGCTCCAACACGAAATGAAAGTACCAAAGATTTGCCAGTTCAGAACTTAAAGGAGAAGTACAGCCAAATAACTTTTGGCTGTACTTCTGTGGATCACAGAAGTGCAGTTTGTTCTACACTCCTATGACCCAGCTTCAGCTGACAGCAGTTTGAAGTCCACTGTCGACTGATGTCACTGCAAAGTCAGGATCCACCCCAGATTCTGGAGCGGAACCTGGCTCAGCCTCTCAGCAATCTGCTGAGAACCTGAGCCATCCGCTTCCTCCCCCTCCACAGCCCAGCGCAGTGCACGGGGGAGGGGACGAGCAGACAGCGGTGACTGACAGTCACCTCTCTCTGCTCAGAGAGGCTGTGAGAACTCAGAAATCAGTGGTCATGTGATCGCTGAGTTCTCACAATTAGAGGGCGGTGGGGGACAGATGCAGCATCGGAGCGGAAAAAAAAAGGAAACCCCATACTTCTCTTTTACATTTTTAAAGGAAAAGTAGGGCCAGCTCTCTTTTGGTCCTATATCTCCTGTGGGTCACAGGAGTGCATTTAGTTCTGCACTCCTGTGACCCATATTCAATCGACAGCGGGCTAAAGTCTGCTGTTGACTGACATCACTGAGGCAGTCCAAGCTCTGGAGAGATCCCGACTTTATTTGCAGTGGTGTCATTACTGGGTCTTTGTGAAATATCACCCCACCCTGCTTTGGTGCTTCTCTCAAGAGCCCTCAATCCTGATTTCCTTGCAGTGGGATGGCTCTTCGGAGTAGTCATGCAAATATCAAATTGTCTTGTTGAGAGGATGTCAGACTGGAGGAGTGTGTGTTTCCAGGCAGACTGGATTGGCACACAGTCTGCTCTGGGAACCAAAAACATGTGATGCTGAGACTCTGTGATTGAAAGAACTGGAATCCAGTTAATGAAAGGGGCGGGCCAGGAACAGTCAGGTTGGGGAGGAAAGAACTAGATGATGCAGGATGTCCTTCAGCCAAGAAATCAGTAAAATCAATATAAGCAATTTCAGTAGATACCTGTCCAACTGTGAAAGACTGAAAGTAAAAGACTGGAGCAGAGCTTTAAATTCACACTTTACATGAACTGATAGGGACAGGTCAGCACCAAATCACAATATATTGAGTCATGATTTTTTAAAAAAAAGAAAGCGCGAGTATTAAAAACATCAAAATGACATCAAATATTCCTTAATTGCAATGCTAACTCATTATACAGTATGTGCTTAATAAAAACATACTATAGTTTCCCTTTAAGCTGCTAATCTTCCTCACTATAAAATAAAATATTTATAAGATATCTAAGAGGAAAAAATATGAAAATACACTAAAGGAGACCCTTCTGCCCCACAACACAGGAGAGACACAGCTATGTGGGACAGCTCAGGCAGTGCCACCCCCATATCATGTCAGACCATATTCTAGTCTCAGCTGATCCTCATTTGTCCGGATTTTAAGGTTATTTTTAACTGGAGCAGTTTCCCCTCACATACATATTAATATTTCGCTTTGCTGGCACATTTGTGGTTTATTGCAGTATCAGCTAAAAGCTTTGGTTTGACTGCTAAAACCTAGATCACAAAGCAGTAGCCTCAGTGGAACCTTTTTCTGCTACTTGTGCTTTTGATGGAATTAGCAGGTGTGCAGACCTTGAAGTTTCCCTCTCTGCCACAAGCTGATTAGCCTATTAAAACTGCTGATCACCATTAATTATTTTTTAAGGGATCCTGGCAGGAAAGCGGTTATCTGTTACAGCCGAGGAGTCCATCCAATGCTGGAGGCTACTCAATTTTTTTATATTATCCTAGTAGGTCTCCTCTATAGTTTTATTTATTTTGCTAGCCTTTTTTCATTTTTTTTTTTTACTTTAATATCCTCCACCTATGATAATTGTTTTCTTGGAAACGTCCACTGAGCTACTCCTTACATAACCGCTATCTGGAAAGGCTTATCCTCAGTAACAGCTGGAGAGGCAATACCCCCGCTGGGCCAAAGATTGTGGGGCTAGCCTAGAATATGACCTTTGTGCAATGGTCTCTACATTGTGGCACTTTCCAGACCTTTGTGTAGTTTATTAGTATTGATGGGAGTGTGTTGTTTTTTGGCTGGGAATGGGACTGTATTGACCTGAAGCATTTGAGTTCTCTTTTCTGGCTAGGGATTTATTTTTGCTGCTGATGAGCCTTTTGAGCTTACTAAAAAACAGTGTCCTATAATCTATCTGATTCCCCCATACATCACAATGCCAATACAGGTTTATGGCAATACAAAATCTATTTAAAGCAGCTCAAATGCATGTCAGAAGGTGGTCCACTGCAGGTCAATGAATTATGAATAATCCCTGAAGTGTAGGGTCATACAAACGAGGTGGGAATCCTCCAACCGGTACTTTGTATTCTGATATATATATATATATATATACACATACACACACATACACAGATCAGCAGCTGCAGCACTTATTTATGGAACATTTTCCAACATGTCCCTTTGACAGAAGTCAATTATACATTCAACTTCTGTTGAGTGGGGAAGCCCCCACACTGATCAAAATTTGGCTGATCCCTGGTAGACCGGCCTAATTTTGATCAGAGTATGGCCAGTTTAGAACGGAACTTCACTCTCTCAATCAGCATGGACTATTTTTAATCCTTATGGTGCTAGCATTAGTGGATAGATAGGAAAGTATATTATATTTACTTGTTTTATTTTTTTTTATACATTTCTTCAGTTACCTTCTGGTTTCCATGCCTAAGACAATGATGTCATACATCCCAGGAGTCTTCAGGAGGGGAGGAGGGTTCTCAGCTCAGCCATAGCCTGAGCTAAAGGCAGATGCATTCCAGGAAGTAAATGCTACATGAATCATCTGCCCTTACTCAAGAAGGACACGGCCAGAAATGCTTGGGGTTTTTTTTCTCATTTCTCAGCAAAATAAAGCATGGACATGAATGGATGGGGGAGTTCTCATTGAATATGAAAAAATGAATGAAATATCGATTTGGGTTTGTGGTGCCCAGATACAGTGTAGATCTGCTTTAAATCTGATGTCAAACAAAAGCCATCAGCACAGATGTAAAGCCCACTGAAAAAAGACCCTTAAATCGGCACAAAAAAAAATTAACAAACAAAACTAATAAAAATGGAAAAACATTGAACCTTAATAGTTAAAAAAAAATGAGCAGCAACATGACAGCTGAAGGGATAAGAAGAGTGAATTAAGGATGATTACAGTTACTTAAGGGTTAATAGGGGTTAAATAGGAGCTATTTTTTTTAAATTGCTTTAACTGCTTTAAGTGAAATCATATGCAGATCTGCAGAGTAAATACAATGTAATACTTACTGTATGTTGCTACATCACATTCCAGCATTTTGAATGCTGTTCAGAAGCTTTGTTTTTACAC